AAACTTTACTCTGCACCATACAGCACGTTAATTTACTAAGTCATTTGTGTGCATGTTCTCAGTCATGTCTGACTCTGCGACCTCATGGACTATAGCCTGCCAGGCTCCTTTGTCCATGGGATTTCCCAGGCAAGACTACTGTAGTAAGTTGCCATTTCCTTCTTTATACTAACTTATGCTTATTTTTATTGTATTTTCCCCTCTTACTGTTCCAAGAAGGTAGTCAGATTTTTGTGTTCTTCTGTTTGGGGCTCAGGGTTGCAAGGGAGAGGGCAGGGGTTACCTGGCAACCCTCCCTCAAGGCTTTGGGAATTAGATACTCTGAATCCTCCTTGTTTGAGGGGATTGGGCTTGGCCAGTCCAAAGAGTGATGGAGAGAAAAATGACCTTCAAAGACTGGGAAGATGGGAGTGAGCGGGTAGGTCCCAGTAAGGGAAATGTCTCTGTTCCCTAACAGTTGCCTTGGGTGAGCATCACTTAGGGACAATACCTGGGGTGGTGCCCCTCTGGGTAGAACCTTAAGCATGAGGCTTCCCCACATTTCCAAGATCCCACCGTTTATGAAACAGGGGAGCTATTCAGCTTCTAGAAATAACATGGGTTTGGACACTGAACAGGGCAGGGGCTCTCCTTGAATGTTGTAGATTGTACAAGGCTCCCGAGGACTGGAGCTGGGAGGGAGGAAGCCCACTAAGGAGGGAATTTTAATATCTCAGCCCTTGGCAACTGGCAGTTTGGAGTCAGACTTGATTTGATATATAAAATAAGGTCATGTGATAAGCCTAGTGACAGAAGAAAATTGTACCCAATACAACTCTATACATGACATCAAAATACTGGCCTGGAGTGAATAGTTGTATATGAGTGGGAGGAGTCCAGCTGTAAGAACTAGGTCCACTGTTTTTATCTTTGCTTTCCCTTTTGTAAAACCCCATGTGAGATTATTTTCAACATGTTCTACCTTCTTGGTCCAAAGATCTGCCAATGAAGCTGAGCAACATCCAAAAGGGCCCCGGGAGGTGATGGGTAGACCAAAGAAATAGAAGGAAAAAGAATTGAGAAGAAATGAGAAAGCAGAGGAAGTAAGGAGGAGAGAAAGTGACAATTGCCTGAAGTAACAGTAACCCTCTGCAGAGACAGAAGAGATACACAGATGTGGCCCAAGGTCTCAGGCCAAGTCAAAGGAAGAAACTCCTTTTTTCTGTTTTCCCACATTTCCTCTACTGTGCCACATCTCTTCTCTTTTATTTCCTATTTGGTCAGCCCTTGATTATCTTAGCACCTCATCTGCTTCTAGACAACAGATATTGGGTTAACCAAAAAAAGTCATTTGGGTTTTTCCATAAGATGGTACAGAAAAACCCAAATGAGCTTTTTGGTCAACCAGATACTTCATTCCTAAATTCTGGCTAGTCTGGGACAAGGCGCTGGGAAGACATCTGGGCTTGAGCCTCACAGAGACCTGAATTTCAGATCTGGCTCTGCCAGCTCATGGCACCATGTCTGATCACTAGATCTTCAGGAGCTGAAAGTACTTCTACATTCAGAGTACGTGTCAGTACACTGTCCACTGAGAAAAACTCTCAAATGACCTCCCCCTTGCTATTTTACCTTCAGCCCTCTGGATGGTGAAGACTTTTAGTCCTGAATAAACACTGGGGAGAATTGAGGGTGGCTAGGAAAGAAACAGAGGGCCCTAAAAGAACCCATGGTTTCACATTTTCATCTGTAAGCAGCCCTGATCTTATGTAAGTCTAGTCCAGCAGTTCTCAAATTTCACCAGGCATCAGAGTGGAAGGTCTCCAGACTTCTGATTCTTGGATGCTTACCTCCAGAAGGAGCTTAGGGCTCTCTGGGTATACAAAAGACATTCAGCAGGTACATGCATTTATCTTCCCTGGAGTTAAGAGAAGTTGTAATTGTTCTGTCTTCCACTTCACTGTATAAGTTGATGTGAAATTCTGTCAAGACTTGGTAGCTACTTTCATCCTATCTGTAGACACGTGTCTATTTGTAATACTAACTCACTAATATATTTCATTCTCTCTCTTCTCTCTTCATGTATTTGGACAAAGGGATTTTGTTGCTTTTCCCTGACAGGATTGTTTTACCTCCCTAACACCCTAACCATTCTACTCTTCTTTGAAAACCACTCTCCCAGCCTACGCTGCTGCAGAGTTTCTCTCCCAGGAATTTGCAATCAGGACTGAGAGACATGGTCTGCATGAAGCAGAGTTGGGGGGTGGCGGTGGGAGAGGTGGGGGCTTGGACAGTGAGGCAGATATATAGAGAGGATTAGAGGCACCAGTTCTTGAGGTCTTTCTGCCTGGGGTACAGTCCCAGTGAGTTCCATCTGCCCTTCCAGCCTTGGGTTCTGCGAGATACTTCCTGCCCTGCCAAAATCTCCTTTTTTGCTTACGTAAATTGTCCTTGCATTTCTGCTAATTGAGCTTAAATAACTGGCACTGAAATACTCCCCATTGCCCTCATGATGAACTGCAGATTGCTGGATACAGTAACAAAGCTTTTTGTGATCTGATGCCTGCTTACCCCTCCATCTCTCATCTCAACACATTTGCCTCCCTCTCTAAACCTCAGTGATACTAAACTAATTTTTTAGCTCTTTCTGTTCTTTAGGCCTTGGAGATGCTTTTTTCATTCTGTTTATAACACTCTTTTCTCTTCATGTTTGCCTGATCAATCCCTATTTGACCTTCAGATATCAGTGTTGGTATGTCACTTCCTCCAGGAAACCCTCCCAGATACATAACTTTTTTCTCTATATTCTTGGAGTACCTATAGTTCCCAAGGCCTAGCATTTATATAAGACATCACAGTTGCCTGGTGACTTGTGTTTCTTCCTCTCTAGATTTTGAGCTCTGTGAGGGCAAAGTTTGAGTCTGAATCACTGATGTATCTGAGTGTTTCACACTACCTGGTACTTGGCTGGCACCAAATCAGTACTTGTTAAATGAATGAATGATGTGTCTCCCTTGCTATCAGTCACCTGCCCCAGTGGCAGATTAACAGTGTTGAATAGAAAAAATGAAAATTATTTTGGCCTCAAGCTATAGACTACCATTTGGAAATACTCCTGAGGTAAAGAATCAGATATCACCAGACTTTGGGAATATCCTGTTACTTTCATTGTANCGCCCCCTTTAATGACTGTGACAGAGTTTCTAATTAGAGAAAAAACTTTATGCATATATTGACTCAAAAGTGCTGTATCACCAAGGGAGATTTTGTGAATAAGGTTAGAATTTAGCATATCAGAAATTCAATCCACTTGAGATCTCTCTAAGAGGTTTGCCCTTGGATCGTTTAGCACAGACTTTTATAGTCACTGAGAACTGTTGTCATGGTAATCACGGAATCTTTCATGATTTTCGTATATGAGTCAATGAAGATACTGGAAACAACCCAAAGGAATTCATACTTGGGTGTGCATTTGTCTCCATATTAGCCCAATCACTGTTCTGAACACACATCTGCCCCTGGGCCAATTCTCTTGGCTCTCAGCCTTGACAGGAATAAATAAACAACTAATTCCTTTTTAGTATTTCAGGCTAGGAGGCTGTGGATGGCTGCCCTTTTGGTCTCATTTCAACAGGAAGTCGTGTACAAACAGCTTAAAAGAACAGGAAAAAAATGCTGCATGAAACATCTTTTCTTCTATTTCAGAATTTTAATGTTGCTGATTTCAAGGCATCTAAATCTAATGCCTAAACAGAAGTTCCTGTTGTAGAGAACACAGAACACTGAATGTACCTAAAGTCTTTCTTTTATGGTCTTTCATAAATATACCTTAATCCAAGCCTCCATCAAGTCTACAGATTCACATCCAGGTAGTTCAGTGTGCTCAGAATATTTGAGATTTTCCATTTATGTCCCATCCTGCTAGTCCCCCCCCACCCCCAACATCTATTTCTCTTCTTTCCTAATAATAGAACACCTTGCATTTAGGAGGCATGTAGATTCTTGAAATCAAGACATTTCTATTCTCCCTGAATGCTGGTCAATGGTATTTAAGTCAAAGTGGTGTATTTGACTTCCTGGACTTATCTTTAAAGGGAGTAAATATGTAACCTCCTTCATCCCTTCCTACTGACTGGAATGTGGACATGCTGGATGGAGCTGGGGTAGCTATTTTGGACAATGAGTTGAGAACCATGTTGGGAAAAGCAGAATGGCAGAATAGAAGGAGTGTGGGTCCCTGAAGATTGTGAAGCTTTCATAAAAGCCTAGATTATGTTCATAGGAGAGAGAAAGGAACTTCAGTCTTATTTAATCTATGGTTATTTTGGATTTTCTGTTGTCTAATCTTAACTAGAAGCCAAAAATGGAATTAATTATTCCTCTTTTCACTGATGGGGTGTGAAATTTTTTGTGAGATTACCCATTGATCCCAGGGCATGCTGAAAGGTAGGCAGCTTTGCATTAGCCAGACTGAATTTTCTGGTATGGGGACTTGAGACAGCATTTCCATGGCAGGAAAATGCCTACTTCAGATTAGTCATAGAGACACAGCGTTGCCTGGCTTTGTATGTACATTTTGAATTTTTCTAATATAGTGAAACATATCTATCCTAAAACAAGAACTTGTATTTCAAACACTTTTTTGGAGAAAATAGATAACAAATAATGGACTTGTCTGATGGCTCAGTGGGTAAAGAAACCACCTGCTAATGCAGGAGACACAGGAGACATGGGTTCAATCCCTGGATCAGGAAGAACATCTGGAGAAGGAAATGGCAACCCACTTCAGTATTCTTGCCCGAAAAATCCAGTGGACAGAGGAGCCTGGTGAGCTACAGTCAAAAGGATACTACAAATCATCACTAATTAGTCTGAGTGCAAAGTAATTGAGGTAAGAAAATAAAACCCAATCCTAAAACAAAAAAAACCCCAAACTTTCCAAATTAACTGAGACAAGTGTGACAGTCTTCCACATAGGAGACACAAGTCTTATACTAGTGAGGAATTGCAGCTTTACTTACTGAATTTGGGCCTTTTCATTTTCTTCATCATTTCTTGATTTGAGTGTATTCCAGTCACCAGCAAAACTAAATGAAGAAAATGCAGAAAATCGAATCAGTATTATTTCACTAAATACTTCCTCTCTTTTGCCCTTTATACTTGCTTCAATCACATGTTGAAATATTCTCATTAATAAAACTAATTTCCCCTTATTTTATGTTTGAGGAAATAAGACGTATCATGTGTGCTTTTCTTAGCCTCTGCTGAAAGAGCCTTTCCAAAATACCTCTTGGATGTCTGTCCTTTGTTTTGCTGTCTCTAAATTTCACCACACCAACTCCACCATCTTTACTTTCCTAAGACAGGAACCTAGGTCTAGAGAAGTCCGCTGATTTGCTTGGACCCAGGAATGAATGATAGAGGCGAGATGAGCACCCAGGCCTTTCCTGTCCTCTTTCTTCTGTTCCACACTAAGTTCCCTTTGAGCCTTGTGTTTTTAAAATATAACACAGACCGTTTTTCCCTTATTACCGAAATAATAGGTATTGCTGGTAGAAGAGTATAAAAAAACGCACAAAAACAATACTACAGAAAATATAGATGAAAGCAAAAGTGTAATATTTTCAGGCTTTTTCTGTATGTGTGTATTCATACGAGTACTTTTAAACAAACTTTTGATGATGCTTATACTGTTTACAAGGTGTCATAAACATATCTGTTTGGTCAAAGAGTTCATTGGCGTTCTTGATACCATCTTATGGAAAAATCCACATGAACTTTTTGGCCAACCCAATATTTCTACTTTAAGATATGCAGAGACCTTTTTTTCCCAGTCATTCAATGTTCCTCCCATAATAATCTTAACTGCCTGCAAAATATTGCAGTGCATGGATGTATCATAATTTAGCCAACCCCTTATTTGATATAAATAGCTTCCTCTTTGTGTGGATTTCTTATTATTTTCTTAAAATAACATTCCAAATACAATTTCTTGTCTGAAAGATAAGCCCACTTAAATTTTTGACATATGTTGTGAGAATTTCTCAGAGCAAACTTTTATTAATAATGTCTGAAAATTCTCATTCCTCTGTACCTATGCTAATTGTACTGGTAAACAGAAAAGCACATTTTTTTTCTTTCAAAATGCTACTCAGTCTCTATTCTTATTCCTTCCTCTCCAGGAATTCTTCTACCTTACCTACCTAAAGATGGTACTGCTGTAACTTGCTTCCATTTTAGTCACTCTTTTGAGAAACCCGTTTTCTGGGTGGAGTTGGGTTTCTGGAGGTGAACATGAGTCAGTAGAATAATTAAAACAGGCATTTTACTTCCTACTTTATGTGCTTTTTAAAGTTTTTATGCAACAGAACATAGATGCTTGATTAAGGCATAAATCAGGACTTAGGAATTCTTTAATTGGCAACTATCTTTGAAGGAAAAAGTGGCAATGTCACCAAGTGTTGATTAAGAAAAATTTTATATATCTTATGATTCTCTAGCTAGGCTGTGCCAGTGATGTACCTCATGAATTATCCCCAGTTCTGACTGTTTAGCACTCATTGAGGCCTGGACAGTTGACATACCATGTCCTGCAAGAACAGAACCATAAAAGAGAATTGAGTGAAAACCAAAAGTCTAGCCAAGCAGAATGAAGGCAGACATTTTTTAGGTGTTATTTACTTCTGGGGTTTGGGTGGGTGTGAGTGTCCTGGAGGTCTGATTTTTATAGTAGCCTCTGTGTCACTTAGCTCTATCCAAAGACTGCATCTTCATTTTATACACAAAAATAAATAGCTAGAATTCTAGAATTAAAAAAAAAAACAAGGATAATAAATATATAGAAAAAATGATGCAAGTTAAGTAGAAAGAGCTAAATAGTAATAAATTTGGTTATCAGTTCTTGGTGGAAAACCAAGTTCTGTCCTTCTGGGGCTGTGTGCCTGTGGCGAGTGGTTTATAAGTCTCAGTATCATTAGGACTATAAATATTTCAGTAAGACCACCCCATCACTCGCTTTTGCTCACCCAAGACCCTCCAGGCTGAAAACATGCAGAGCTGGGTTAGGTTTTACAGCAGTGGTTAATAAAGTCATTATTTTCAGTGGTAGACAGAGGCCCTCCCCACAGCTTAGATGCTTGTTAATTAAAGCTGCCCAGAAACCACTCCTCAAGGGGTGGGCTGGTCAGTAAGGTTGTGAAAGTGCTTGTGCCTTGAAGCAAGTCTTCATTCCTCATCATTAGGGCCCTTCTTGGTACCTTGGAATTGCAATGGAATTCTATTGCATGTAGAATTGGGGTGAGAAGAAAATCTGTCTTGTATTTCTGTTCATAGGAACAGACAGAGCACAGAGATGGACGACTGATGCTCACTTCAAAGTCAAAGCAGAACACAGGTCTGAAAGTACTTGCCTGGGAGTAGTTAGTTATCTGGCCACTGAGGCCATTAGAATCTAGAGGCTTTGAGGAGATCAAGTCTAGAGTCTGAAGTTCCAGGGCAATCATGATTTACTAACTCTGCAACAGTACTTCTCAGTTTTAAAAAATTCAGTGTTCCAATTTTGATTAACATGAAAAGTTCTCACCTTTCACTAGTCATGTTTGACATTTCAAAACAAAGTAAATATTAAAATTATTTTTCAAATAAAAATTTTCCTCTACTTCTCTTTCTCTCTAATGTGGCCATCAGGATGGTTAAGATGTCTGAGGTGCAATTGCTTAAAACTTCAACAGTTTAAATACATTATCAACCAGATAATTTATAGAGAAAACACAAATGAGTTAGCTTGAAACAATGTTAAATCTCATTAATGACTAAAAAATGCAGGCTAAAGCAAAATGACATTATATTTTCTCATATTGTGTACTGAATATTGAACTCAGGATTATAGTTATTCCTGGTATGGATTTGGGATTAGGGCAGTCCAGTACATGGTCAGTAAATTCTGAGCAGGTAGAGTCAACCTGGAAAGCCATGGGCAGTACATTTCAGTAGCCTTAAAAAACAGTCCTATTCTTTGTCCTAAAACATATATACCTAGTAATATATCCCAAGTTATAATCAGAAATATCCAACTAGGATCCAACTAGTCCATCCTAAAGGAAATCAGTCCTGAATATTCATTGGAAGGACTGATGTTGAAGCTGAAACTCCAATACTTTGGCCACTTGATGTGAAGAACTGACTCACTGAAAAAAACCCTAAAGCTGGAAAAGACTGAAGGCAGGAGAAAGGGATGACAGAGGATGAGATGGTTGGATGGCATCACTGATTCAAAGGACCTGAGTTTGAGTAAGCTCCGGGAGTTGGTGATGGACAGGGAAACCTGGTGTGCTGCAGTCCATGGGGTAGCAAAGAGTCAGACACGACTGAGTGACTGAACCGAACTGAACACTTAAAACTAACACAATGTTATGTGTCAATTACACATCAATTTTTTAACATCCCAACTTTAAAAAAAATATTTACTTATTTTTTTTATTTGGCTGTGCTGGATCTTAGCTGAGGCATGCAGGATCTTTTAGTTGTGGCATGTGGGATCTAGTTCCCTGACTAAGAATCGAACCTGGGTCCCCAGCAATGGTAGTGTGGAGTCTTAGCAACTAGTCCACCAGGGAAGTCCCTATAACAATTTTTTAAAAGACCCTCTATCTCCACATAAGGTCACAATCTGAGATACTGGGGTTCAGACTTCAATACAACTTTCATGGTGAGCACAATTCAACCCATAACAGTTGTAAAAGTTGGAAGATAGCCCCTTTTTTAGTCTCACTTCTTTTTCCCGACTTCCTTTTCTTTCCTGCCTCTGAGCAAATAGAGTTTCTCCTTCCTTCGGCCCAAATTCTGCCCCTTTTGCATCCTTGCCCTCCCCCACCCACCCTCACTGCCCACAGCATCACTTCCCCCGACCCTGGACAGTGGGCGCTCCAGCGCCTTCTGCAGACTGGGTCTCACATGGAGCGCCTGCCCTCTGTCCCCTCCTTGTCCCCACAGCTCAGCAGTCCGAGCACACCTGTCAGCCTGTTTTTTCCCTCCGGCAGGGACGGAGGATGGCTTCCTGCGGGCCTTGGAGTCTATTCACTCAAGCAGCCTCAGGCCATCTGCTCCAGGCATGGAGTTCTCACGCAGCCTGTTGCTGCCCCCGCTGTGGGGACAATTCCACTGGGCCCCCAAATCCCCCATTTCCCCTGCTCTCAGCAGCAGCATCTTAGCAGTAACCCCAGAACATCCCCTCAACCCCTCATCCTCTTCTTTTCTCCCCCAGTTAATCCCAGCAAAGTCCCGTCTTAACTTGTCCAACTGTCCTGCGGCAGGATTTTGGCTCCCCCCTCATCTGTCTTCTGGTACATTCTTGAGTGTCTGCAGCCGGAGCTGTATTTCTTCGCTGTTTCCCTTTTCCTCTTCCCCTCTTATCGTGGCTTGCTCCCTGCCCTCTGCCTTTGTTCCTCTCCCTGTTATTTATATGAACTTCCGTCCATGTTCTTCATCCTGGGGAGATTCCCTGTGGAGGCTCGGAAGGTTCGTCCTCCCCCTGGAACTTGGCTTATCCTGCTGCTAAGGGGTTTCCCCAGTGGCTCAACTTGTAAAGAATCTGCCAAAGATTCTGCCAAAGCAGGGGACGCAAGAGACATGGGTTCGATCCCTGGGCCGGGAAGATTCCCTGGAGAAGGAAATGGCAACCCNCTTGGTTTTGCTGACTGTATAGAGCTTCTCCATCTTTGGCTGCAAAGAATATAATCAATCTGATTTCGGTGTTGACCATCTGGTTATGTCCATGTGTAGAGTCTTCTCTTTTGTTGTTGGAAGAGGGTGTTTGCTATGACCAGTGCGTTCTCTTGGCAAAACTATATTAGTATTTGCCCTGCTTCATTTTGTACTCCAAGGCCAAATTTGCCTGTTACTCCAAGTGTTTCTTGACTTCCTACTTTTGCATTCCAGTCCCCTATAATGAAAAGGATGTCTTTTTGGGTGTTAATTCTAGAAGGTCTTGTAGGTCTTAATAGAACCGTTCAACTTCAGCTTCTTCAATGTTACTGGTACTAAATGCTTAATATGTATCTAGAACTTTTATAAGAATGCCTCATTCTAG